CTAGAAAAATCAAATTATAAAAAGCGAAAAATTAAGGAGGAGAAAAAGAACGTACATACTCAGTTGCTTGCATGACGGTGATAATCTTTGGTACATTGAATTGGGTGCTTCCAATCTTTTTGTTGATTTCTCTGTCAACAGTTGACGTAATTAAGCACATTTAATTAGTACATAAATTAATTATTTTGAAATACGTGAATTGCAATTGAAAAAAAAGATAAAATCACTAAAAAAAAAGAAAATTAAATGCAAGGACTTATCAAACCAATTCAATATATTGCTACCTTGTTTATTAAAATTTAGCTTCTCAAGCAACTTGCATTTGCCTACCTCACAAGCAACTCTACTCAACTGCGATTGAGTTGAAGGAGAACAAATGTCCGTTTTATTTTCAAAAAGTTGAATTGAATAAATAAATAAATAAACACTTTTCATCTTTCTTTTTTTGAAAGGAAAAAACAAATAATATTTCCAATCTTTTTAAGAACTCTCTTAGAAGTTGAAATGAATTTCTGGAAATGAGTTTTTACCACTATTAAGCTGTCAATTTCTAAAATTTTTAAAGAATATTGAATATAAATTCATCATTCAATACTTCTTCCAAAAAAATGTTTACTCAAACAAAACTTTTACTGAAGCTACCATTAAAAAAAAAAATACACTGATTAATTAATATATTCTTTGGTTCAAAATTCAATTAAAGAGGTATTTGAAACAGAATCAGGGTCATGTTTAATGTGGATATTGAAGGTTTGCTTTCTGCAATGTTTGCTGGAATTGTGCAGATTAGGTGTCTGATTTTTGCCGTTGTCTATTGTGCTTGTTTCATTTTTTTTTTTTTTATTTTGTAAATGGATTGAAGCACTCTTTATATTTTAAATAATAAATAATTTTGATTTTGTAAATAAAAAAATATATTAAAAAATTATTATTTTTTATTATAAAATTAAATATAAATAAATTTAAAAATAAAATCATACATATAAAATATAAAAATTAATTAAATTCGTAATATTTAAATTATATTTTAATAATTAAATCGGATGAATAATGTCAAAAAAGTTTGTCGAAGTAAAGTTGGACAAATCATTCTCCTTAATTTTTTATTTTTTTTATTTTTTTTTTAAAAGGTGAGGAGGACGAAGAAATGTACTCGACTGTTTTGCAGACTACTCGGTAGAAATCAGCCAAGGTGCAATCCTCTTCGTCTGCCAAATAAGTTTGATAGCGTCTCTCGACAATGCGATCGAACTCTTTAATCTTATATCCATTGTTTCCTGCAATTTTCATCATGATTCTTTGATCAGAGTTACAAAAAAAGGGGGGAAATCGTAATGAGAGAGAAGGGAATACCAGAAGCAGATTGTCCCATCTTTAATTTTGTGATCACATTTATGTGTATGAGAGAAAAGAGAAGCTTTATATAAGTTGCATGCCGGCGATTCTTCAAACCAAAGAAGACGAGACTTGCCAGGGAGGGAGAGCATATGGCTTTCCTAGACATCAAGAGAGCTTTAAAGAGAATGCCTCTTAAATACATAGGGAATCAAAGCTTGTTTTATGCTTAAGAAATGAATCTGAGATGGGAAAACAGGGGGAATCCTGCGTAATAAGGAGACATTGGAATCAGGATACACTTAGAAATATATATGGAAAGAGACGAGACGAGACGAGGCGAGACGAGAGAAAAGAGCATTCAGAGCCCAGCAAGAGTGCAAAGAGACGAAAGAAAAGCTCAGCAAGAAGCTGCAAGAGAGCAAAGAAATCAAGAAGAGCAGATCAACATTGTGAGTGAGAGAATGATTGAAGATGAGAAGCTGGTGAAAAAACTTGAACCCCTTGGATTGACCATTAGCGAAATAAAGCCAGATGGACACAGCCTCTACCGAGGTGTTGAAGATCAGCTGACTCTTCTGTCAGGAGGTTCTTTCTTTATACATACCAAGAGCTGCGTGAAATGGTTGCTGGTTATATGAGGAAACACATGTCTGATTTCCTCCCCTTTTTCTTGTCTGAGAATATGGAAGACGAAAGTGCTGAAAACTCACCAGCAGAGAGATTCGAGTATGATTGTAAAGAGGTGGAGTCAACAGCTGCGTGGGAAAGACAGTTAGAGCTTGGAGCTTTAACTCACTGCCTGAGAAAGCATATCATGATATTTTCAGGATCTTTTCCTGATGTGGAGATGGGGAAGGAATTCAAAGCTGAAACAGGTTCTGATTCATTGAAAGGCTCCATTATGTTATCATACCATAGGCATACCTTTGGGCTCGGCGAGCACTATAATTCTGTGGTTCCAAATGTGATCAGATAGGTAACTTCAAATCACCAGCAACATATTTATATCTAGATGGATGTCTACTTTGTTATGTTTCTTTGAGAGAATAAGCACATCACAAACACTAAGTTCCGCGACAAATGGTCAAATTGCTAGTACTTCATCTAATTATTCTTTCTCCTTTTGTCTTGTTTCTTCAATGTATTTATAAATTTTAATTGTAAAATTGGTACTTTTACCTTTCTTTTTTGACAAAATAAAAATAGAAAATTTTGATCAGGCATAAGAAGATGAAAATATGTTGTGTATCTAATTTTGTGTGATTGTGTATATTTTTTACAGTGTGAGAAGTCTAGGAAAAGATGCAAGCAAGGATATGGTAGAAGCATACAAGTTCGCAATTGTACCTTTAATGGAACTTAGAATGTAGCAAAGAAAGCATGATAACCAAGATGAAAAAAACCACTAAAATCAATCATGAGCACCCAGATGAAGAAAAGAATGAAAAAAACAATCTTCAATTCACTTTCTCTCTGATTCCTTGCTTTATTTTCCCTAGAAACAAAAGGAAAATCAAAGACCCCCTTATTTTATTCCTCCACAAGAACAAACTAACTTTCAAATTAGTGTCAAATAATTTTCTTCTCTCTTTTTCTTTTTTGAGTTTTATGAAGCGATGTTTATAGTTCCGAATTAATACCGGAGAGTTGGGACGAATCATTAAAATTAGATTTATTTATGAAAAATATTGGTTTGATATGCAAGCAATAAGTACGATTTTCTCTCACAATTT